TCTCTCTTCCCTTTGTCTCTGGCATTTGCACACACTATTTTTTAAAAATTAAGCTGATTTAAGTTTGTGACTAATTAATGTAGACGTTTTACTTAAATATACATAACACTTCTCAATTTCAAATAATCTAATCTGCTTCAGCCCCCAAACCTATGTGAATTTTTAGGCAGGTTTAGAATAAAGAACTTTAAATCCTCATTATCGAAAAAGATCCCCCCTGTTTCATGAATAAGAAAACTAGAAAGGTTAAATAATTTAACAAATTTTGTTGAGTCAGTAGCTTCTACATTTGGCCTTGGCTCATATTTAACTGTGAAGAATAAACGGTTTTGCAAATAAAAGGAAATATAATCATCCATATACTAGTGGTCTGTATCAATATCAACATTTTTGTCTCAAATACACAGTTATAACTCAAAAGGGACAATGTTTGATTTACTGTCTTAAAGTAGCTAAATCCTATTTATACTAATGTCTGATAAAAGCCATTTCTCTCTAATTTCTACAGGACTTTCAACTTGTGGATAGTAGTCTGGTTCATAACACTAGCTGAGTGTTAGCTTAGGAACCAGCTCTTACTCCGTTAAACTGCTACAAGGTTTGAGTGTTTAATATTTACTGCCTCTTTAGGACAAAGGGAGAAAAACACCTCAAAGGAAACAAATTATGATTTTTTAAAAAGAATTATTTTTTTAAAATTTGCTATAGGGCATATGCATTCACCAGAGAGATACAGTGGGGGAGGGAGAGTGAGAGAGAGGGAAAGTGTGAAAGCAAGTCTGGAACTTGAACCAGTCAGCTCTGTGGGAGTCCAGCCCCTTAACCACATGCCACCTGCTGGCCCCACAAATTATGATTTTATAAAAAGAATTATTTTTTTAAAATTTGCTATAGGGCATATGCATTCACCAGAGAGATACAGTGGGGGAGGGAGAGTGAGAGAGAGGGAAAGTGTGAAAGCAAGTCTGGAACTTGAACCAGTCAGCTCTGTGGGAGTCCAGCCCCTTAACCACATGCCACCTGCTGGCCCCACAAATTATGATTTTATAAATGTAAATTCAATGGTACTAAAACAGCTGTTAATTTTCTAACTTTAACCATTTTTTTATGTAGTATTTTAAATTGTGCTACATACCACTTGAGTATTTAAGATTCTAGGTGTGGTACTATCCAACAGATGTATTATAAAACTACAACCAAATTTGTAACTTACAAAAAATGGAGATAGCCTAATACGAAGCATAAGAAAAATTGTCTAACTAGTAGAGCTGTGAAATCCTCTACCCAAGATTTTCCTCCAAATGTTTCTAAAATTGAGAGGCTTTGTTTTTTTGGTAAGAAATAGCAGAGTAAGAGACAGTAAAAAGAAAACAACAAGAGTATTTGAATGGCACTTGTAACAATTAATGACGCTTCCTTAGTCCCAGGATTCTGAAACAGTTGGTTGAGGAAAGGAGAGAACTGGAGTTCAGTTAAGGATAGTTCTGTTCATCTTGATCCATGCAACGACCAAGACTCCAAAAGACTGACCAAATGTTACCAAGTGAGCAGGCTGTTGGGGATAATATCAGAAATGAAATTTCTAAAAAGACAGGAAAAAACACAGAAACCTAGCAGATGGACAAAAGAATATCCAGGCCCAGTCGGTGGCACCACAATAGGGTACTGATCTATAATGCTGGAAGCTAGATGGTCAATCATGGGTTCAGATCCCCAGTCAACTTGAAAACACACTGGGTGCCCAGATGCCCAAGATCTGACAAGCTGGAAGGGCTGGGGAATAGGATCATGGTATGATAGGATCTTGTTAGGGGTGCCTCCTTCCCCCTCGCATGTGAGCCTTCATGGTTTCTCATAAATAAAAGTAAACTTAATATCCAAAGACATTGTTTTCATCAGCCAACCATTATAAATAACTATATATTCTGTCCTCTTTACATACTGGATCATAGGTTTAAAAAAAAAAAACACGGATAATCAGAAATTCCTTTGAAAATTTTAAGAGGGGCAAATACCTTTTTGGTCCTTATAATATACAACACATACTTAGAGGATAAATACCATTGTGTGATAACTAACACAGTCCCTTTGAGAGCCGTTTATTTATGTGTTAAGTGTTGGGAATTTTTTTTTTTCTTGGAGAGGTTTTTGCTATAGGGTGCGTGCACTCGCCAGACAGAGACAGAGAGACAGAAAGCGAGAAATCACCCCCCAGGAAGGATGGCCACGCCACAATCCCTCCTCCTCCATTCTCCTCTCAGGATCTTGGGCACCCACGCACACGTGCCCGGTGTGAGTTTTAAGCCACTGGGTCCAGGACGTGAACCTCAGTCGACTACGTGGGAGTCCAGCGACACAGCCATTACGCCAACTGCTGGTCCCAAGTGTTGGGAATTTGAGGTTGAAACATAACTACCCATAAATTAGTTGTCTCTTCTCCACATTCCTAAAAAAGAATGGATGCATAAACTACTTTCACGTAAAGTTTTGAAAGCATAAATAATTTTGTCATTTCAGAATTTTGGAGTGGGGCTGGCAAGTGGCATAATGGTTGGGGATGCTGGCCTCCTACGTGGCTGACTGTGGTTCGAGTCCTGGACCTGGCAGCTTGCTTTCTCACTTTCCCTCTCTCTCTCTCTCTTTCACACTCTGTCCCTCTCTGGTCAAATTAAAATAAATAAATAAATGGGAAAAAAAGGAAAAAAGAAATGACAAATCTGTTTTTAAAAAAATTAGAGCTACAAAAGGGCCCTACTGATAATCTGGTCAAACTCCTCCGCAATTTTATAACTGAGGCAACTGAAGAGCTCACTCACAGACACAGTAACTGGCCCTAAGTCTGGCTATATGAGCAAGGATGGAACTCTCCCTCCTGCCTCTGCATGATCACATATTCGGGCTAAGCTCTTAGAAGGACTAGCTTACTTGAGCGAGAAACAGATTCCATATAGCCACTATGCTATACAATCTTTTTAGATTTTGTAATACAAAAACAATATGCTAATCTTCAGAATGTCATACCAAACCACTTATGACATATTGCAACCATTTTATTAATATGAAGCAATGAGGATAAATACTTTAATGGGAGTACTGATTCACTATCATGAATGTGTATCAATACTTTGGATCTATATCACGCTTAATTCAGTCAAATTATATGTCGCTTACTTTAACTTCCACATGTATAAAAATATTTATATTTCACAGATTAATAGAACAGCACATGGCCATGCAACTCTTCTTTCTGGCTTGAACGTATGTAAATACTCTCATGCTGAAAGGATTTTTCACTGCTCAAGGACTTCATAGTACATGAACAACTTTTTAGTAAATGATTTCTCCCCTACCATTTTTTCTTTCAAATTGAAGAAAAAAAAAGTAATACTGTGGTATAAAAGACCTTATTACAAGGGCCTTTCTGAAATGTTGGAGAACATAGTTAAAGTCCTATAATGAGACTGTAATCAAGATCATCCTACAAGGACATGAGGGTAGAGTCACTCTCCTGGAGAGTTTCAGATTCTTTAAAGAATATTATGACTGATGGGGAAAGCGTATACAGATATTCTCGCAGAAGACTCTCCCAGAGAGGTTATTTTGAACATATTTCAATCTTGTCATGACTGTAATGAAGACAATGTGATAGTTGGATCATTCAGCTGATAAAGCTTGTGTCTAGAAAGACACAATAATGTAATGAAATACCGTTATAATTTTTTTATATTTTGTGAAATATAGAGGCCATGAAAGCAGGAAAATGTAGCAGTCTAACAAAGACTAAGGAAACACACTTAAAAGAATAAACACTTAACACATAAAAAAATTTAAATGATATCTAATAAATTTTCATGTCAAACATTTAAGCTAAACATATAAAAATTTTAAATGGCAACTAATCCTCATGGAGAATCTTTAAAAAAATCCACAAATAGATTATAAAAACTGAACAATCATAAATGTCTTATGTATAAAGTTTTAAGGGGAAGTTTAAATTTGCACATTATTCTGTTTAATCAAATACTTGAGGAGTTTTAGTTACTGCTGAGAAGCAGTTGATACATTTCTAAAATAATTCAGTTATGAAAATAATATCACAATTAAGGTTTGGCATAGTAGCATTCCATCAAACTTCAGTCATCCACAAATGTTAACCGTCCCGGCCCTTCATTCTTCATCCATCTCCTGTATCTCTTCCATCTAGGGTCATTTGCCAATTTTTTCTTTAATTCTTCTTCTTGTTCTTGTTTGTAGACCTGTAAGCATGAATAATACTAAATAGACTTTTCAATTCAAAGACAAACATTTGCTATTAGCTTAGTGGCATATTTACATTTTTCAAATATAACTTCGGGCAAAACTTTCCAACACATGTATTGGTTTGTCTTCTAAAGACCATTTACCTAAAAACTAGGCAATTAAGCATTTAACATTCGATGTTCAAAAAGAACTTGTACATAAGCTAGTAATTTTATTACTAATTTCTTCTTTACATTTAATTTTATTTATTTGTTCATTTATTTTAACTTGACCAGAGAGACACACAGAGAGAAAGAGAGAGAGAGAATGTGAAAAAGCAAGCCATTAGGTCCAGGACTCAAACCATGGTCGGCCATGTGGGAATGTCCAGGGTCTTAACCACCATGCCACCTGCTGATCCCAGTTACTAATTTCTTTAACCTAGGAATATTTTTTTCTTCACTGAAATTTTATATAAATTGAGATTAAAGGGCTTACCATTTCTTCAATTAATATCCAATATTAAAGGACCAACAGGGTTTTTTTTTTAACATGGTACTTTGTAAATTTCACATTTATTGATCTTAACCAAGAAACAAAGTGACCTGACACATATATGAATATATGTATATACAGGGGTAAATGTATGTTTGTCTCCAAATTGAACTTACATCTCCCTTTTTTTTGACAGATTCTTGAAATTTCTTTGAGACAAGGCTTTATTTATTTAGAAAAAGCAAACAAAAAGGTTTATTAGAAACAAGATACTCTATCATGTATAGTGTTCAAACATTATTGCACTTGAACTTTCAAAATTTGATAAAGCACTCATGAAACAACCTGCAGACTAGTTTTAACAGACCAATAACACTTTTAAGCAGACATGACTGTCCTAAAAAATTTTTTCTCACACCCACCCTCCATCACCCACTCTCTAACACCCACTCTCCCCTCTTACAGTCTCTAGCATCTACACTCATCCTCTCCACCAACACATCTTCAGATCTTTCAACTTCTGCTATGAAGTGCAGACACTCAGTACAAATTGAGTGGGGAGATATTGGATTGTCAGAAAAATGTGTTTTTCTATGCAAAAATGCATCATGACTTTTCTGATGACCCAAAACAATGTACATCTTTCAAAGTCTGGCTCACTTTGCTCAACATTAAGTCTTCTCTGTCCATTTTGAGTCAAATGATAGGGTCTCACTGTTTCTTATAGTTGTGTAATATTCCACAGTATATATGTGCCATAGTTTTTCAACACAGTCATCAGTTTTTGGACATTTAGATTGGTTCTACATTTTAGCAAGTGTGAATAACGCTACAATAACATGGATGTGCAAGTGTCTTTCCAATCAACTGTTCTCCCACCCTTTGGGTAAAATACCAACAACTGCGATTACTAGGTCATATGGAAGTTCTATTTGTAGGTTTTTGAGAAATCTCCATATTGTTTTCCAAATTTACACCTACTTTTATCTTCAAAGATAATTACAGGTCTTTCAAAAATTTTTTTTAAATTGAAGTTCCCAAAGAAAGTTAAATAAACCATACAAATTAAGAACAAAGAACAGTTGCATTCATTCCCACAACTTGGAGCAGATGTCAGCTGAAGCAAAATGGAGAGGTTGTCATAGCCAATTTCGTAGCCACAAGAGATTTTAGAAATAAATGATTTTACATCCAAAATATTAGAAAGTAATGACTAAAATAACCTCATATAATAACGTAACCTCCTAATTCATCCCAGGATAATACTCTAGAAAGACAGTTTTGTGGACTGGGCTGCTAAACCTACCTAAAAGAGAAACTTCTTCATGGGCCAGGCCCTGGTGCAGCGGTAACGCAACTGGACCCACATGGGAAAGGTTTTGTGCTCTGGAACATCCCTGAGCAAACTGGATGCACACACATGTGCCTATGATTTGGGGTGGCTGAGAATGAGGTAGATCACTGTGTGAATATCCTTTTGGAGGTCTCTTCTCTTTCTCCTCTCATGAAATAAATGAACTTCGAAAAAAGAAACCTTTTCAAATAGTTTAGGAGCTAAACAGTGTTACTTTCCGTTTTTATCTTACTTATAAACAGGATGAATAGATGTACTGCCAAATCATCTGGCAATTCATAAATGAATTTATTTTAATATAATTCAGAGCAAAACTTAACTTTCAGTAAAAGCTATTGAAGATATCACATATAAGAAGGATTATGGGCCTAGCCACATGGTACAGCTGGTAGGATTCCACTACACCATACTGAAGCCATATGGGAGACCCAGGATTCGGATGCCTGTTCGACCTGAACATGCACACTCATGCTGTGTTCTTGGCTGGCTGGGAGACTGCAGCGTGGTGAGATCCCATCAAGGGTCTCTGTCTCCATCCCTCCTTCTCTCTTAAAAAAGAAAGAAAGAAAAAGCTAAGAGATCTCAGATTCTTAAGGTTTCACTGAGCTCTACTTTTATATAAATACATTAACCAATTAATTTTACCCAGATTCTAAAACAGTATCATTATGATAAGACTTGCTAGTCCCTTTAGCACTGTGGCTAGGGAACTGATTACCTCAAAGTCATTTTTATAGCTGAAAATTATACAATATTTATTAAAATGTCAAAGTCTAGAAGCATACAAAAGTCAATTTAATTCAAAAGTAAATAAAATCCACATACATGTTGGTTGTAATTCTGAAGATTTTATATTTTTTCTTTTTTTAATTGCTGAAGGGTTTATACATTCGCCAGAGAAAACACAGAGATAGAGAGAGGGAAGAGAGAGGCCAGCAGGTGGTGTGGTGGTTAGGGACACTGACTCCCACATGGCTGGCAGTTTGTGTCCCAGATCTGGCAGCCTGCCTTCTCGCTTTCCCTCCCTCACTCTGTCCCTCTCTGGTCAAATATAAATGAAATAAAATAAATAAAGTTAATGAAAATAATTCTTAAAAAAAATTAAAATGAGAGAGGAGGAAGAGAAAGCACAACCCAATGGGACATGATCATATTGCAATCCCTTCTCCTTCATTTCTCCATTTTATAGGGTTTTAGATATATAACATATAAATATGTTGTGTTTTTGAAGCTGCCTGGGCCAGAATATTTTTTTTTCGGAAAGGTTTTTGCTATAGGGCGTGTGCACTTGCCAAAAAGACAGAGAGAAACAGTGAGATAGAAAGCGAGAAATCACACCCCTCGGGGGGTTGGCCATGCCGCAATCCCTTCTCCTCCATTCTCCTCTCAGGTTCTTGGGCACACATGCACACACGCCCGGCGTGAGTTTAGGCCACTGGGTCCAGGACTCAAACCACGGTTGGCTACATGAGAGTTCAGCGACATAGCTATTATGCTAACTGCTGGTCCCTTGGGCCAAAATTTGAACCTTGGTAAGCCAAGTGGTAGCTGGCTTCCTTAGCCAGTAGACTTTGGGGCTGGTCCTTAATTATTTTTGAAATGGACAGTTATTTCAGCAAAATTTCCATCTCTTATTCTCTTTTCTTTCCCTCTGTTTTATTGTTTTGTTGTGTTTTGAATCTCTGTGACTAGGTTTGCATGACTAGAAGAAAACTTGGGGGTTCCAAATTTTAGTGCAGTTACCAGAAAGCTGTTGTAACACCCTTGCAAACATGTATATAATTCTACCATAGTTTAACACAGAAAATTAGACCTTTCGTAAAACCTTTCCAGAATTGGTCAATTTAAGTATCTGAAGTTCACCTTTCAAAAGACCAATTACTTGGAGGTCAGCAGGTGGTGTGGTGGTTTAAGGCAGTGAACTCCCACATGCCTGACCTTTCTCATTTTCTTTCTCTCTCTATCTCTCTCTGGTGAGCGCATGTGCCCTACAGCAAATTAAAAAATAACAAATAAATAAGTAAATAAAATAAAATAAATCATTCTTAAAGAAAAAAAGACAAATTACAAGTTAAAACAGTCACTACCCCAGTACAAAACACTGCCATATTTCCAACAGAAGTATGACTGTATTTCTTATTCATTATGACTATATGAAGTAATTCATTTTTAACTCTTGGGCTTCAGAAATTTGAGCATACCACTTATCCCTATCATACACCCAATTTTACCTTGGTGAGGAGGATGACACTAAGATCACAGCAGTGACTACTCACCTCATAGTTCTCCTTTATCCAGAGCTCCCGTTTCAGAAAAGTTTCCTTCTGATGATCTTCTAGACTATCAAACTGAGACTTGGACATCTTCATAGATTTACGTATGATATAGAGTCTCTCTTCTTCCCCATATTCTTTGCCTTTGATGTTAAAATTATAGATCCACCGGCAATACCAGACTATATATGAGCACAGGTGAAATGGAGCTAAGACAATCTGAAACAGGAGAAGATCCCGTATTTGGGGCTTCTGATAGCCTCCCTTGATATCTATTTTACTTTTTATAATGTTCTTTATGATGTTCTCCTCCTCATCACGTATCTCTTCTTTGGACTTTTTGTTTCTGCCTTTCTCTTTGGCTTTTTTCAGCAGTCCCTGCTGCTTGGCGATCTCTGTAGCTTGGATACGGTACTTGGGCACTGTGGCTAGGTAGCTGATTGCCTTATTGTAGCTATTCCACCAGCTGAAGAACTAGAAGATTCAACAAAGAAAAATGGGTCATTTTTATTACCAAAATTTATCTGAACTAAAGCAGTAGTAGAGCATTTTGGTAAATACCATCACCCAAAAAACCCATTCTGATTAAAAATAGGGATCTTACTTTGTAAGCAAAAGATACAACTGAACAATGCCCATGTGGACCCGAGATCTCAAGACTGGGTGAGTGAGATGAACTCAGCTGAGTCAACAAGCCAGTGATTCAGACAGGATGCCCGAGATCAAAAAATGACTCAGTGGGATCACACCACAACTACAGCCTCACATCTTTACCATTCAGCTCTTTCCTAGATCACTATTAAGAAACCTTTTCCCTTTTTTTCCCACCTGCAACCTACTTAGTAGAGAAAGAGTTCAATTGCAAAAACTACCTGGTAGGAACCTGTTGAAAACATTTACTGGGGGGATCAGCGGATGGCATAATGGTTATGTCACTGGATCCCACATATTCGCTGTGGTTTGAGTCCCGGACCCAGTGGCTTTAACTCACTCCAGGCACATGTGCATGCATATCTAAGATTCCGAGAGGAGAATGGAGGAGAAGAGACTGGTGTGGTCATCCCCCTTGGGGGGTGATTTCTTGCGTTCTGTCTCTGTCTCTCTCTGTCTCTCTGGCAAGCGCAAACACCCTGTAACAAAAATCTCTCTTAAAAAAAGAGAAAGAAAATATTCACTGAGTAAGTCCAGTCATATAGGGTAGGCCATGAAGCACCACTACACAATACTGGAGCCATATGGGAAGGCCAGGGGTTCAGATCACACGTCAGCTTGAACACACCCATGTGCACCCTTGATCTTGGCTGACTAGAAGGCTGGGGAGGAGGGGGATCATGCTGTCATGAAACCTGTTGGGAATACTCCCCCAATAAATAAATTTTTAAAATTAACAGGATATAGACTCAGGCAACTATGGTCATTCCTACCCGTTACTATTTTACTGGATAAATATAGTAGTTACATCAGTAATATCCTGAAATATTCTAATAGTGATCTATCAGGAATAGAAAAAAAAAGTTACTAGGGAAACTATAGTCATTCCTACCCATTACTATTTTACTGGATAAATATAGCAGTTACACCAATAATATCCTGAAATATTATAGTAGTCATCTATCAGGAATAGAAAAAGAGTTATTAGGGAAATTACATTATCTAAAACAAAAAAGTGAAATCCCTGCTTTCCCTTTTGAAAGGTCACTGTTTCTACAGGAGCTGATACATCTAAAATACACCAACTTACTCTTCAACAGGAATTATTTTACTATGTAAGTTGAGTATCATTTTGGGGAATTAAACTGGAGAAATAATTTTTAAGCTAGCAAATTTTTTATTTTAGTCATTTGTCTTGTTCCTTTCCTCTGAAGGATGACATGATAGGCATGGGTTAGTTTAAGAATAATAGAAAAAACTGATTTAAGTTACTGTGCTTTTTTTTTTTTTTTTTTAACAAGAGAGATTTTTACTATAGGGCACGTGCACTTGCCAGGGAGATGGAGAGACAGAGAGACAGAAAATGAGAAATCACTCCCCAGAGGGGATGGCCATACCACAATCCCTCTCCTCCATTCTTTTCTTGGAATTTTGGGAATGCACACACACACATGCCTGGCGTGAGTTTTAAGCTGCCAGGTCTGGGACTTGAACCATGGTAGACTATGTGGGAGTCCAATAACGTAACCATTACGGCATCGGCTGGTCCCAAGTTACGGTACTTTAAAAAACCTATTTCAGGAAAAAAAAAAAAAAAAAACCTATTTCAGTAGTTCTTAACCTGAGTTCAAATGAGTAGGGCATTTTGAGTTGTCACAATGATGGTGAGCACTACTGGCATTGGATGGATGGAAGCCAGGACTTCTCAGGCCATATTAGGGAGTTGAGAGATTAATGGGAAGTCATTGTTTAACAGGAAACCACTGGCAAGTAAATGACATGGTGTCACTGACATTTACTCTGGGTGTTTTATAGAAAATACTCTAGAGGGAGCAGTAAGAAAATGTCCGGTGTTTTAGGAAGGATTGTAGTTACAATAACATTCATCACCACCATCATCATCATCAATTTCCTAGATTTTCCACTAATGAAGTTTCCAATACTGTTGATTGGCTAAATAAATGAATAATTTTTTCTAATGCAAAATATGGATCTTAACTGGAAGTGAAAATTTTACAAAAAAGTATTTGTAGTTCAGTTTGATGACTGGCACTAGGCAGTATGCCCTCACGCACATACACATAGATACACATAGCTATCGATACACACCTGAAACATTGAAATAGCACACACACTGACCAAAATCACTATCCGAACATCCACCGTAGGAGCTAAGCGCTTGCGATAATAGTGGTAGTAATGGCTGTAGTACTCTTCAGGATGATCCAGCATATAGTCATAATCTTTCCGTGTTTCTTCATCCTGTAAAATGACAAGACAGCAAATTTCATAGGACATTTCATTAAATGACCTTAGCTTATAATCTGTTACATCAAATCTAAAATTTTATTATGTAAAATTTATCTAAATAAAACTACCAAAATGATCAAAAGAAAATTCTCATTACTCTTCAAAGGCATACATACATGTTTCCAAAACTTTAATATTAAGTATTAAAAACAATAAAGGTATTTCTCAAAATTATGAGTATTAGTCCCCTCCTACAAAAACACTAATAACAATGAACCAACCACATCTTTTTTAGCTAGTGATAATAAGAATGTGACCATGTTCCTATGACTTAGGAACATATTGACATCTACTCAACAACTGATAGAAAAAAATATCTCACATATATTCATAATCATATTTCAGTCTTGTAAGAAAAACTTTCTGTTGAAAGCAATTAAGGGAGTAAAAAGCAGATAAAACTAATCTGTGCCTATAAAACTAAAATATGATCACCTCAAAGCAACATTGAGACAGACATCTATGTAGTATAATGGTCAAAGTCTAGGTTTGCAACCCTGGGCAAAATATTTAGCCTCTCTGAGCCTCACTCTTCTTCATTTGTCAAAAAGAGATAATAACACCAGCACTATTATGTTTACATGGTTGTTTTGAATATCAAACAATATACATTATAAAAAACATTACATATATACATAGCACCCCACTATTTCATAACATTCTTTTTTTTTTTTTTTTGGAGAGGTTTTTGCTATAGGGCCTCGCCAGACAGACAGACAGAAAATGAGAAATCACCCCCCAGCGGGGGGATGGCCACACCGCAATCCCTTCTCCGTTCTCCTATCGGGATCTTGGGCACGCACACACACGCACCCCGCCTGAGTTTTAAGCCACCAGGTTCAGGACGCGAACCATGGTTGACTATGTGGGAGTCCAGCGACATAGCCATTACGCTAACTGCTGGTCCCACTATTTCAAGACATACAGCAGATCTTCCTTACTCAGACAAACTCGTTAAAAGAATTATGGCATGTTGGGGCCAGCAGATGGTGTAATGGTTATATCACTGGACTCCCACATAGTTAACTGGACCCAGTGGCTTAAACTCACACGAGGCGCATGTATGCATGTGTGCCCAAGATCCAGAGAGGAGAATAGAGGAGAAGGGATTGTGGAGTGGCCATCCCCCATGAGGGGGGATTTCTCGCTTTCTCTCTCTGTCCCTCTCTGTCTTTCTGGCAAGTGCACACGCCCTAATAGCAAAAATCTCTCCAAAAAAAAAAATAAAAGGAATTATAGCATTCTAAAATACTCTTCTAAATGTTTACAAATAAAATAGCTATTAAAATATTCTCATTCTAATCAATTTTTAAAAAATTGTTAAGAATTATTTTATTTAAATTTACTTATTTTTTAAATTTTAATTTGACCAGAGAGGAACAGAGCAAGAGCACAAGAGTGAGAGTGAGAGAGAGAGAGAGAGAGAGAGAAAGTGAGAAAGCAAGAAAGCAAGCCACCAGGTCTGGGACTTGAACTGTGGTAGGCCATGTGGGAGTCCAATGCCCTCAACCACCATGCTACCTGGTCCCTCTAATCAATTTCTAACAGAGATAAATGCCAATGTTTTACTGAACTACATAGGTTGAAAAGCTATTAAAGCACATCATGATTTTGCTTTTCATCTCACAGAAAACCTTTTTTTTTTTTTTGGAGACGTTTTTGTCTTTCTGGCACGTGTGCTCTCCAGAAAGACAGAGACAGACAGAGAGATAGAAAGTGAGAAGTCACCCCCCAGGGGGGATGGCCACGCCGCAATCCCTTCTCCTCCATTATCCTCTTGGGATCTTGAGCACGCACATATGAGTTTAAACCACCGGGTCCGGGACTGGAACCGCAGTTGACTATATGAGAGTCCAGCGACAGCCATTACACCAACTCCTGGTCCCCAGAAAACCTATTTTTGAGCTTGAGCCAATTAAAAAAAAGTTAATGATTAAGACCAAAGTAAATTCTTTATCTCTATATGTAAGTACAATAGAAACGATCATAAAAATCTTTTTTAACTTCAAGGGTTTCTTTTTGCAATGACTTACTCAAAATGCATAAAGTTGAAAATTCTGAGCTAAAGGCATTTAAAAATCTAAACCTAGTGACTTGTTACCACAGATCTGCTGAGGGATCTGTCTGTTCAAGGAACCCCTCTAAATCCTCCAATATGCAGCTTAGATTTAAAGTAGTAAATTTGCTAGTCACAAAGACTTTCTTGTATCCATTAAAATCACTATGTACTTTCTTTTCTTTTTTTAAGAAATAGATTTATTTATTTACTTACTTACTTAATTTGACCAGAGAGAGACAGAGAAGAAAAGTGAGAAAGCAAGCCACCAGGTCTGGGACTTGAACCGTGGTTGGCCATGTGGGAGTCCAATGTCTAAACCACCACACCACCTGCCGACCCCAAAATCACTATGCATTTTCTTTTTAAAAGAATTATTTAACTTTATTCATTCATTCATTCATCCATTCATTCGTTTTAATTTGACAGAGAGAGAGAGAGAGAGGGAAAGTAAGAAAGCAAGCCACCAGGTCTGGGACTTGAACCGTGGTTGGCCATGTGGGAGTCCAATGTCTAAACCACCACACCACCTGCTGGTCCCCACTATGTATTTTCTACTAGGAATTTTGAATGTGAAAGAGTATTCTCAATAATAGTTTTCCTACATTCAAATATATTTATTTTTTTCTTCTCGCTAGTATATAAAATTAGACAAACTAGTATCTAGTCTGAATTAAATATATTTTTAAGTTATGTCATGTTACCGAGGGACCAGCAGTTAGCGTAATGGCTATGTCGCTGGACTCCCATGTAGTCGGCCACGATTCGAGTCCCAGACCCGGAGCCTTAAACATGCCGGAGGCTTAAACACGCCGGGAGCGTGTGCGTGCATGCCCAAGATCCCGAGAGGAGAATGGAGAAGGGATTGCGGTGTGATTTCTTGTTTTCTGTCTCTCTGTCAAGCGCACGCGCCCTATAGCAAAAACCTCTAAAAAAAAATTATGTCATGTTATCATATGAAGGGCCAATATAAGAATCATCTGCTAAAAAGAAGGGATGAGCAGGGCTAGCAGGTGACATGGAAGTCAGGGTGGCTGAATCCCATGTGGCCGGCTACAGTTTGAGTCTTGGACCCGATGGCTTGAAAAACACCCTGGACACATATGCATACATGCCCAAAATTCCAAGAGGAGAAGGAACTGTGACATGATCATCCCGCCTAGATGTGTCCTAGAGCAAAACCAACCATAAAATAATAATTAAAAAAAAAAAAAAAAGAGTGAGCTTAGGCTGGTATTATTTTCAGTTTCACTCCCTGTTTGCTCTCTTTCACCAGAAAGAATTTTCTTATGGCAACAGCCATGCACCTCGGCTGCCAATCCATTATGCCTTCAAGACACCATCATATTCTACAGCCTCCAACCTAAATAGGTAAAAATTTACAAATATCATTCAGCTAGTCTTGAAGACTAAAGCCTACATCTTGATGTGCATCATTTTGAGTACCTCAAAATATCCTTTGGGAATTTTTCTATTATCCCTCCATTTTTTTGCTTCTTGAGCTAATTTCATAGAAATGCCCTGCTTCTGGCCTGAAATCCCTCGTTTATAACTCAGCCTCCCAACCTTGGCAGATACCTTTTGAAATGTATTTTTTCAATCACCATTCTTGCTCCAATTAGATTACATGAAGTTGGGGCCAGCAAGTGGCATGGTAGTTAAAGGCACTGGACTCCCACATGGCTGACCACAGCTGAGTCCCAGACCTGCTGGCTTGCTTTCTCACCCTCCACCCTGCTCTGTCCCCCTCTGGTCAAATTTAAATAAAATAAATAAATAAATAAATAAATAAAGTTAAACAAAGTAATTCTTAAAATAAAAAATTAAAAAATTAAAAAAAGATTACATGTAGTTTAGAAACAAATGACACCCGGGGGCCAGCAGGTGCATAGTGGTTAAGGCGCTAGATATTCCTGCATGGCTGATCATGGTTCGAGTCCTGGACCTTGTGGCTTCCTTTTTCACTTTCCCTCTTTATCTCTCTGTCTCTCTCTCTGGTCAAATTAAATGAATGCCTAAATAAAATTCAATAAATAATTCTTTTAAAAAAGGAAAGAAAGAAATGATACCCTGCAATCAGATTCCTATGATTATCCAGTGTCAATGTCCACACAGAGCACACTGTCCAGTATTCCCCTGGCTGAAGTATACAGTAAGGTCTTATGTGTCACTCAATCTGGTATGTGTGCCGCGTGCATGCAACCAATGGTGAGGTTCTCTTTTTTGTTTTCTTATCTTATAGGAGGTCACATTCCACAGAATGCAGATACTATCCCTCTGTAGTTACTTCACACAGATTTCCCCCAGGATCACCATTTCTCACTGTTTCTAGATATGTAGCTTCATCAGGTCCTAAGCTCCTCTAACAGGATGGCCAACTAATGCTCCAGCACTAGCAACTCCAGAATCTACCCCTTGTATAAGCTGCTCTAATAGGACGGTCAACTAATGCTCCAGCACTAGCAACTCCAGTATCTATCCCTTGTATAAGCTGCTCTAATAGGACAGTCAAGAGCATTAGCAACTCCAGAATCTATCCCTTGTGTCTGGCTTCTAAACACAAGCAGAGCCAATGGTGTCTCTCCCGGGCCCCCTAATGTGTACTCAAAATGCCTAACTCTTGCAAAAGATCTCAGGGTTAAGTCTGAGCTCTCTTGGGCTGATTTTCTTTTCTTTGGGGTTGTCATAAATTTATGACCCTGTTTTGGTCGTAATTAGAGAATATAAAGTTAGTCACCTCCTTGCTATTGCATTTATTTAATTTAGTTCATCTTTATTCTAAGGTTTAGCTTTTTCTCCAGAACAAAGAAACTAATCTTTAGGCTGAGGCATATATAGACTTTAGAAGGTATTCAAGATTTGCATAAATTGGTAAAAGTAAGGAGTTTCCAACAGC